TTTGGCCTTGATGTAACAACATTCATAATTAAGTAAATGTAACACCCTTTTCACCCCGGTTACACGTTTCATTTGCCCTGTATGATGGGCGCTGTAAGTGATGAAAATGGGGGATGTTGGCTTATCTGGCGCCCGCAGCTCACAGCCAAAGTGCGAGTGAGCGTGGGATCGAGGGAGGGTGCAACGGTTCCGGCGCTGTTGTTATTAGTATCTGGTGCTAGCTGCTCTAACGGATATAAGAAGAAGATGTTTCTACAATAATGTGGAGGGAGAGTCCTCTCCAGTCAGACTGAGAGGCACAGTGAGGTAAAGGACTGTGGAGTGTTTAGATAGTTCACTTTAGTCTAAGTTGTCTCAGTGGGTCTCAAACGTTTTGATCACAATTTATGTAAACACATATTTTCAAGGCACTCCTTTATAATTATTGGGATAAACAGGTTTTAAATCATTCCAATGTATACTATAGGACAGTAAACCAAAAATATCCTTTAAAACTGGAAAGATTAAAAAAAAAGCATAAATATATAAATGTTAAGGTAAAATAAGATATGAACAACAAAAATAAAATAAGTTACATTAATTTGTTATTGGCTATGGTAGGTTATTGGTTATGTTCACATACTTATTTGATTACATCCACTTGTCTAAGATGACAACAGAGACTTTCGACCCAAACCCAGCTGTTGACTTGTAGATGCAAGCAGCTAATCGCAGACTCAACCAGAGAGAAAGAAGTAGGCCTACATCATCAGCTACCATGTCTGACAGAGAGGAAGACAGTGAGGAGAACAGTCAGGAGGGTAGTGATGACAGCTTGTAGGATTACTGGTCGTGCTAATGTTGTCTTGTGTTCACCTCTGCATGTGTGTTCTGTGTTCACCTCTGCATGTGTGTACTGTGTTCACCTCTGCATGTGTGTTCAGCGCCGTGTGTCTGGCAAATAAAGTCAAGACCCCCTCAAAAGTTACGGTTTATTTCATTTTAAGGATGAGCACCAAGCAACATCTCCAGGTGCTCCTTTGAAAACCAGGGCAAAAAAGTTATGTGCACCCCTGCATATAGTCACGTTTTAAATTGTAGCACCTGTAGTGGTCGTGTAAGAAACAACAATTTGCAGCCTTAGTTTTAGGCATGTTTTCTTTATTGCTAGCTGAAATTAGCATCCCAATACTAACACAGTTAAGTACATTTCCGAAGCATCTTGCTAACCAGGCTACAGTGTTAACTGGTCTAATATTACCTTCTGTAAAATATTTTCCAGTTGTATATTTAGTGATAAGCATCTTTTTTGGCTAGCTGAAATTAGCATCCCAATGCTAACACAGTTAAGTACATTTCGGAAGCACCTTGCTAACCGAGCCAAATATTATAGTCACTTCTGGTTCCAAATAATAACAGTTTTTCAAACCAATGGGTGATGCCTTGTGGATTAATAAATACCTGCCACGCTGTGTGTGTCCGTCAGGAAACACGCTGTTTACAAGTAGTTCCAGCAAACATCCACTGATAAATTGGGATGTTAACAACCTCATGATAACCTCATGTGTTTTTAACTTAGGATCATACCTGTGTTTAGTCTAGAAAAAGGTAAATGTGTGCATTTTATTATAAAGTTGTGTATATTTACAGCATACTTGCCAACCCTCCCGATTTCATTGCCCTCTCCCGGTTTCCTCCCGGGGTCATATTTCTCCCGCATGTCTCTCGATTTCTGACAAAATCAGATTTACTCAGGACTGTTTGCACTCTGACTTTAATACAGCTGGGTCGATTCTTGTTCAGTTTTTATCTTCATCACCCTCTCAAACGTTGAGTTGCGCGCGCTGCTAAAAAGACGCGTTACCATGGAAACCAAACAATGGTGTAGCTGTATTAAAGTCCGAGTGGAAACAGTCGTGAGTAAATCCGATTTTGTCAGAAATCGGGAGAAATATGACCCCGGGAGGAAACCGGGGAGAGGGCAATGAAATCGGGAGTCTCCCGCGAAAATCGGGAGGGTTGGCAAGTATGACACACACACACACACACACACACACACACACACACACACACACACATATTGTTCGTATTTAGTTTCCTGATTTTAAATGGGAATTAAATCATTTGAGTGTTCCCAAAGCACCAGTGTTCTGCAGTTTGTGTGGGCCTACTGTACTGTTGCACAGTTTTGGAAGATTAATATCTAACCACACATCACCAGATAATTTAAGGGGTCATTTCTCAAAAATGTCTTCCGGAGGAGGATCCCCCGGGACCGCCTTAGTATGGTTTGGTCCCTATTTCCATAGCCCCACCAAAAATATTTTCCACCAGCCGCCACTGAGCTACACCATTGTTTGGTTTCCAAGGTAGCACGTCTCTTTAGTAGCGCGCAACTGAAAGTCTGAGAGGGTGAGGAAGATAGTCACAGAAAACAGAACAAGAATCGACAATTCTACCCTCTGCTCACTCCTTTCCATATGCTCCATCAAGGATGGTGCTACAGGCCGTAAGGCAGTGCACTTACAACTACAATAAGCATGTCAATGTTAATCTAACAGCTCTGGCGATCCACTAGCACCGATTTAAATCTATCAAGTCATATTACGTGTCGCACTTATCATTCATATCACACTGATATCACATCATCAATCAGATCATATCACAATATTTCCTTATCTGAGTCAGCTGACACTCACAGTGTCACATACTGTATGCAGACGTATTATTTTAAGCAACACATTAAGTTGAAACACTTGAGTCAAATGTAATTAAAGTCAGATCCACTCGTGTCTTAGATGGGGCAGTGATATCATAAAACTGTTGTACGCTTTCAAACACAGGTAGTTTAATTATTTGTTAACCAGTTGTTCTGTATTCTCCTTGCAGGTGCAACTATGTGGCTTGTATCCTGGATTATATGTTTAAGTCATGGATGTTTAAAGTTCATATTTGTCTAATATTAGTTTACTTTTCATTAATGAAGTATGACGCTGCGATGTCAGTACACTTGTCCCTGTTTGTGATTGGTCAAATGTTGCTAACCCCGCCCATTTCACGAGAACACGTTCTCAGCTAGAGAGAGAAACCCTGGCTTGATTTACCGAGTTGATAACCAGCGCCGTAGGACCGCTTAGCGAGATCTAGTTTGTTAGGGTTAGTTAAGATAACTCAAACATATCCAGGGTCTGTTGAACTGGCTTCGTAGTGTATAGGGCACAGGTGGCTGCATAGGCTGCTAATGTCAAAGACACAAACATTACACATTATATTTTAATTTTACCATGATTCAGTGACACAAATATTTGGGAAGGCTTAGCCTATAGCCTACAGCATCCGCCGCCCCTGGTAGGAGCTTTCAAACATCACCTGGAGGCAACATCACTCTTTTCCGTGTGAGCAGATCTTTTTCAGTCGAGGGCTGGTGAGGGTTGATTTTATGTGGTATATCCATGTGCAGTGGAGTTGCAGGCTTTGAGTTTCTCTTCCTCTCTCTCTATGTAGGGCAGCCCGTGGATCAGCTGACATCCCCATCCTCCCACATGCCCACACAATCTTGTTAAAGCATGCAGTTAATCTGAAGAGGAAAAGGACTCTCTTCACAAGCAAGCGGCTCTTTCATCACCCAATTATATTGCCCACATCGTGCTGTCACGCCAATATCGGATTCTCCCAAAACTCAGGTGCTTAGAAGAAGCTCCGCCCTTGCCTTGGCTTTGCGTGATGTCACTCGACTTGACTAGTTAATTGGGCATTCTCTTGCACTCTAGGAGCAAAGATGGCATTATGTTGCGGGAGAATCAACATCTCAATGGGGACTCTCCATTAATGTTTCTCTTCATTCTTCTTAAAAGTCCACCATCAATTATTTAAACCGAAATGCCGCCAGAAGGATGAAACAAAGTAGTGCTCTCCAGCAAATCCTCTGGAGGAAGCCTACAGTTGTCGATTTGGGAAAGCTTGCTCATATTCTATGCATTTTCCTAAAAAAGCACGAACAGTACAACGGAGGGAGTAAAATGCTCCTTCCTTCCTCTCTGGCTCTTTATGTTTCTGCTTTTCTTTCTGTCTTTCTATTGATAACAAAGAGTCGGCTGTTGTTGAGAGACTTTTTGATGGACACAGATAAAAGACAACGAGAAAAAAAGACCTGGGATTGAATTGCCACTCTCTGTCTTTGCTGCAGACACAGATGAGAGGTTCATCCATAAATGCACGAGGGCCACATCCCGGCACTCGTTTGACAGGAGAGGTATTGTCTGGATCGAGGTGAGGGGGCGAGTGGGCTGCGGTGGCGGCAGCGGCTGTTTGTCCCTACTGTGAAGTGGCTTGAAACCTTGAGACCCAGCTTCAAACATTTTCTCCGTCCTTGTGGGCACTCCTTCGCTTTCATAGGCTGTGGAGGAATATCTCAAAAGCACCTTTCAATCTCTCAAAAGAGAGAAAGTGAGAGCAAATCATGTTGAACTCGAACAACTCCCACATAATCACGAGTGTGCTTTTTCAGACATAATACAAATGCACTGAGCTCTCAAACAGGCCTCTATGGGTGGATTGTGCTCAAGAGGAAAATGAACCTTGAAAAAAAACATGCAAACCTCTTCATTCGCCTCCTATATCAGCTGCTTAAAGATGACTGAGTCTTTATAATCCATTTATCTCATATCCCATTCTGTATTATCAAGTCTAACAAAGAAATTCATAGAGGAGATTTTCATGCCATAAAGCCGCAAATGATGAAGTTCCACACTCCAAATGTGCTACGTTGTAGATGTCTCACAGGTCTTTTTCTATTTAACTGGAAAGCATGTTCCAGTCAAGCAAACATTGCGCTTTGGTTGACTTGGCAACACTGCCATCTCATGGTGACCAGAGAAAGAAACAACATCAAAAAGCACAATTATAATATGAAAATATTTAATAGAAAATGTTTATTAATTAAGCAAAACATAATGTGCACAACACAGTGAAATCATGTCAATACAAGTTGATTAAAACAAACTGGAAAGCACAAAGCGTGTAGATTTGGATTCAGCTGTCGTTCCTCATACACACAGATTGACAGTTACAGAGCTGGTGTTCTTCTCCCTGGAAACCTCCTCTGACTGAAACACCACTTTTTGGAAAGGTTTTCATCAAAGGGGTTGGAATAAATGAATCTAATCTTTTCTGTGGGGACTTATTCTCTTCTCATGTGGTCTATTTCTAGTCACTGAACCCTCCAGAGAGCCGAGACTGTCTCTGAGCGAGGCTGAGATGCAAGAGATGGCAGATGGGTTCGACTCTCGCTTGGTCTGTGAAAGCCTACCTCGCGCCCTAGCCCCCGAGGGCCAAAGTCATGCCTCATGGCATTTTGAGCTTTTCTATACCTGGACACCACTCTGATCTTCTTCCCTCTCTATGCCTCTCTCTGTGTCTGTCTGACAGCTCTGCTCCTCTCCACCTGCTTCTTCTTCCTCCTCTTCCTCCTTACCGCTCTGGATTCGACAAAGGCGTACCAAAGCGGGACACCTTTCCAACTCTGATTCCCCAACCAGCTGCTCGCACTGCACCACAAAGATTCTGTAAAGCTCCAAGAGGACGATGAGGATGTTCTTGCAGGTGAAGAAGATCATCAGCTGGTTGAGTACCTGCTCTTGGACCATGAGGTAAAGCCGGTAAATCAGAAATGGGCCATCTTGGAGCCCAACAGTGAGAAGCAAGCTCCACACTTCACTGGAGCAGCAGGAGGTGAACCACGATGGAGCACCAGGGCAGAACACGCACGTCTTTGGAGACTCCCCCTTTGGGAGTTGTGTCTGGGTGAGCACCAGAGGAAACTGCATGAGTGCCCAAGAAAATAGGCCCAGTCCCATGATGACTACCGCTCGGTTGGTTTTGACCTCGGGTTCTTTGAAGGTGTCGAAGATATCCAAGATGTCTGCACCCAAGCCCACGTAGACCATGAGGAGCTGGGAGAGCTGGTCACGGGACATGTCCCCCTTGGGCATCAGCCAGCGACCCAGGACCAACACGATGAGCATGGTCTGCTCCAGGCCAGCCACCCAGTTCTCCGGGTCCAGCTCCACAATGCCCTAGGGAAAGGAAACAGCATCATGTTCTTAGGTCTAACGAGTTAAGTTAAAGTTGTCTGCCCTCTATGCTAAACAAATTCCATCTTAAGCGCTGTCATGGCCAGTTGGATGGTTGGGCGACACAAAAAACACAACTGGTATCGCCCAAAAACAGCAATGTCAGTGATCGGGTATGTGTTGTCATGTCTCGGAAACTAATTATGAAAGTTTATTCTTTATATTAGTTTTGTCATGTCCCTTTGTCCTGTGCCTTCTGTCTTATTTTGAAAAGGAATTCTCCCTCTCGTTTCAGGACTCCATGCTCCCCGCCCCTATGTGTCTCCTGCGTTCGTGATTGTTTACCCCACCCTGATTGTTTCCACCTGTGTCCCTCACCTTGTGTATTGTTTTAGTCCCCACCTGTCCAGTGCCGGTTCGTTTTCATTCATGACTACATTCAAGCCTGCTCCATGGTCGTATTCCGTTTTCATGCTCCTGATGATAGCAATTCGTTTTTCCTCGAAAGAGTGATTTTGTGTTTCCTGTTTTGTTACTGTGTTAAAGTCCAGTAAAGTCTTTATTTTTGAAAACCACCTGAGTCTGAGTTGTGCATTTGAGTTCATGCCTCTGAGTTCACCCCTTGACATGTGTCGCATAAGTGTTTGTTTCCATGTCTACGCATAAACACTCACTAACGATCTTAAAATCTTCACCTTTTGTTTTGCAAAAGCTCTGTTTGAAGAAGACCAAAAATTAAATAACATGTGGTCTAGGTGTTCGACTATTCCTTTTCCACAAGGTTGTGTTACATAGCTAATATTGCAACTATTTCTGGATCATTTACATTTTACATCCTCTCGAGAAGGCCTCTCCACTCAACTCTCAATATAATACCCATGATTGTGTGTCAGATCCTCATTGTGTCAGGGTTCATTAAGTTTATCTTGACAGCCCTACTTGACATTTAACAATGTTTCCGAAACACCACGTCTTCAAGTTTCAAAAGCTGCCACCCAGCCTGGAGCACAGCCAGGGGGCAAAAAAGTTCCCAAATCCTACATGAAAGAAATCGCACTAAAACCAGCCCAGGAGGAGAGACATCAGAGAGTTTTTTCAAGCAGGAGTCTATCTGGACTTCATTTGAATGTGTCTATTACACATTTCCTGCAACTAATAGTTCATCCATCCCCCTTCGAGACTTGAATCTTATCTGATATCAGGTTTTGCTTTAATGTAACTGCGTGGAGGGTGAAGCGGGGAGGGCAGATTTGTGTTGGGACACCTACCGCTGTGATCGGGATGCCAGCCAGCAAGTGAAGCTCGGGGCCTGAGGAATTGTTGACAGGCAGCTTGGACTGCAGCAGGCTCAGCTCCAGGAACCAAATGGACGGGATGACTGTACTGAGGTACAGGAAAACCATGGGGGAGAACCTAAAAGAGGACCGCCAAAGGAGAGGGAAGGGTGGTGGTGGTGAGGGAGGTAGGGGTAGGTTATTTTTAGTGACAAGCCTATTTTTTGAAGAAGAAAGAGTAAAAATGTTCCCCAAAAGAAGCATCGAATTTTAGACAGACAATTATTCTCATCATATATGCAAATCCCTCTTGACAGTGCAAAGCCTTCTCCATGAGGGGAGAACTTCAAAGTAAGACTCAGGGAGAAAGAGAGAGGCCTGAAGAAAGCTTGCGTCTGAGGATGTTCACTGTGTATGTGCCAGAGAGCTTTTGAATGAGTCGCAGCTTTATGTTGAATAAGGTGTGACACTAAATGCTCATATCCTTTGGAGACTGGTGTCAGTTTATGTTTACTTAATCCAAGCTGTTTTTTTCTAGCTGGTCAGAAGTGAAAACTTGAGCCAGCCGCAGACATTTTTCCTTTACGACTGTCTGGCTAGCAGAGGAAGTGACAGATAAGTAATAGCAGGCTCAGCTCAGGGAAAGACAGTGCAATAACACAGCAGAGGAAGAGATTTGTTTCTGATAGACAGTGAAAGAGAGAAAGAGCTGCAGAGAATCACAGATAATTTAGTGGCAGAGAATATTACAGGCCGTACACAAGCTGCCTCTCAACAGCCCGACCAGATGGGTTGTAAAATGTTCACACAGTTGCAAGTTCTGAAATTATTTACTCCCTTCGTGAAACAGGTTTACAAAATCTGCATACAACACCTCGATCACCCCTTTAAAAATAATAAAAGCAGCTGTTTTTGACATGCTTTTTCAGTCCACAGCACACATTTTTGTTTATTAACGCAGGAGAGAAAATGATTACAGCTATTACATGTATATATTCTCTTTTTGTTGTTTAAAGATTTAAACCTCACTTGTATATTTTAACACCAAAGCCTATAAAAACACTTCTGCTTCTGTAAAAGATCTTAGTAAAGCCAGAGAAATTGAGCCATGATGATGCTATCAGGTTTAGCTTTGTTATATATATACTAGCTAGGGATGGTCTTAAAAAGAGCTGTTGTTGCATTATGGGAAATGTAGGATCCAGCGTTTGTGGCAGGTCCATGAAAGGGGGCAATCTCCAGTTTTTTATATAGCCAACGTATATTATATAGAAGTCTATGAGAAAATTACTCTACTTCTCAATTGATACTACCTCAACATACATTATCCATTTGACTATTCATGTTACAACTTTAACCCTAAACAGTGTATTTTCAGTTAATTCAAGTTCATTGTAATCTTTTTGCTTTGGCTGTACTTTGTTCCACCCTCTTGTGGTTCCAAAAAAACTAGATGGAAACGGCCAAAATCACAATTTTCAGCCCAATCCCCACAATCAGAATCCATGGTACTTGATTTATCACTGGTTAAAAAATTGGATAAAACAATAAAATAAACACTGATAAAGTGGCCGCATTGTTACCATTTCCACTCTGCATTTCGCGTGCACTTCAGAGTGACAGCCATTTCCACACCCAGCAGAGCCACGCCTGTCAGCAGCAGCCAATAGAGTGGCTCCCCTTTCACGGCCACCACACGCCACACTGTCACCACCCCGTGCACCACAAACAGGAAGCGACTCAGCAGAGCCAGCAGGACGTTCAGGAGACGACACATGGTGCACCGGAGGAAACCTGTACAGAAGATAGTTGTATTATTATGTTCGATTAAAATGTATAACTTACTTCAAATTATAGAAATGTGTTTAGTTGGTGTTGAGGTAGGTTGTAAAACCTTCTTTTCTATGCCTTTTGTTTGGCATAGAGGTCAAATGTTTGATTGTGAAAAAAGGGGGTGGTCAATGAGAGTGGTCTGTAACAAAAAGTCTCCTTACAATAAACTAAATGGGTCTAGTACATACTAATGCCAAACTCTCAACCGTTTATAGTAGACTCTTGTGGGAGACTATTGGTCTAAACATAGAGGTCCTGTTCCATTGTTGCCAAAAGGTCAAGGGTCTGTGAAGTTCTGCATGTTCTGAGGTTGTGTATGTGTGTGAATACAGCCATTGCATGATTAAAAGGTCAAAATCTGTAGATTTTTGGTGTCATGCAGTTGTAATTGAATCCAGTTGGGGGTCAGATGTGGCATACAGTCATTTGAAAATCCTATTTGTGTGCCATATTTGCTATTCAATACATAATTATTGCAAGACTAATGAAAGTTGAGGCATACTCAGAATTTTGGCAAAACCTTTACAAAACTTTTGTTAATAATGTCTCAAAAGTTGTAACAATAAAGGCCTTTATGTTCTTTCAAGCTCTTTAGTGTAACACACTTAATGTCAAACAATAAAAGCTTTTGCCAAGCTAATAATTGAAAAGTTCCAAAGGCCACTATTTTTGATTGCATTTTGCAATACATTTAAGGAATAAACTGTCACAGAATAAAGTGTCAGCCAGCCAAAACCCAATTCAACTATAACATGTTTACACTCTTATGTAAGCGCATCAGTCGAAATCATTCCCCCGGTTTAGTTTTTATGATCAATAACTATTGCATGAGCTTAGTGTACAAACAGTCCTCACTGTCAATTAGTCAGCTTAGGATAAAAGCTGCTGAGCTTCTGGGGAATTCAGAGCAAGCTGTGATTAGTAAGCAAGAGTTAGAAAAACGGATCTGCATTGAAAATTAAAAGACTCCAGTAAGCTTTGCATGAGTTGCCTAAATCTGATCTCTGGAACCCCTGTTGATTATTGTGATGGTTTACGACTTGAAGGTGGTTCCCTACTGGTGTAAATGATATAACCCAGTTTAGGGTTATATCAGGAACATCATTTGCAAGTCATATTCCTCCCTTGTTTACTGTTGGTATTTACAATGTCACCATGTTGAAAACAAAATGCCAATAACAGTCCTCTTTGAAATTACACTCTTTAAAAGTGGTTAATAAAATGTATTGATATTGTATAGATCAGACACAGAAGAATAATGTTTTAGTTGGCAGGTTGTTAAAGATCTCTTTCTATAGTCCAACAAATTATGTTTGGCCTATGTTAAATTCATGTTTTGTCAAGACAGCAATTTATTTCCCAACAAGTGCACATTATATTACAAGATTGGATATTTTACTGACACAATCATGCTCGAAATGTGTGCCATTTTAGGTTCATTTGTATCGATTATTCATCGTGTTTCTGTCCAACAAAACATAACCCAAGAATGATGTCCCTTAAAACATAATTTTGTCACAAATTAGCTTTATTTAAATGTATTTATAGAAGACAGGTCTGCAAACCCACAACAGAGCTTTCACCAAATATGGAGATATATGGTTTTAACAGGACATTGGAAGAGTCTCACTGCGCAGTGTTTTTTTTAGAACCTGGCAACCCAAAATGTGTTGTTTTTGATTGCTTATAACTTAGCTTAAATGCATTAGTACTTGTTATTATAAATAATGAAGTCACATATTATATATAACTCTTTTCAAAGTGTGCCTAAATATCTTATAGTTTAGATTATGAGCAAACAAATAACTGTTATGTCTTTAACAGAACTCATGCATTATGTATTGTATGGTGTAGTTGCATGCAGAACGAACCTACAGATGTGAGCAGGAGTCCTCGTTGAATTGGTTTGGGATCAGTTTCTTCAGTGTGTTTCCCAAAGGTTCTCAAGAAGAAAATCACCATACCATAACAGTCACACACAGTAACCAGAAGAATCTGTCTGTCCGATTTTCCCTTATACATGACAGCCACCCCCTAGACCCACTAGATGTGTAGGCATGTCAGAGGAGTGTGTTTTCCTGTGTGTATATGTGTCCAATGTTGTCCGCTGGAGTGGAGTATAAGTGAGTGTGAGTGTGTTCCACAAGTGTACATGTGTGTGTCTCACTACCCTCGGTGCCATTGTGGAAGATAAGGTTTCCGGCCCCCTGCGCCCACATCTTCATCGCCATCTGTCATGATGTCACCTCTCCTGGCCCAGAACAAAGCTATCTCCCTGGGAGAAGCCGTCCTGTCGCGCTCCCTGTTCAGAGAGCACCCAGCCCTGCCCTGCTCTCCACCCAGGCCTGCTCTGCCTCCGCGCTGCCTGCCCTGATAACAGCCTCGCTCCCTGGCACTCACAAAAACATGGAGCAACAATGGAGATGCTGATGGCCCCCTGAGCAATCACTAAGGAGAGTGCGGGTATGTTAGTGCTGTTGGAGAAACTGTGTAGGTCAATGCTGTCCAGGAACATCACTCCACGAAAAAGTGGAACAATGACGGTTGACTGGCCAGATGTTTTATTTGATCAGTGTTGACATTGGTCCTATAGCCAATATGATGCCTCCTGGGGGCAGCGGAAACAAGTTGTTAAATGTATCAGTATAATTTGTCCACCAGTTATAGTTGCTAGTTTTGTCTATCGGCTGTTAGTGTACAGTTTATATAGCTTATCATAGGGGCAACTGTGGCTGTACGGTAGTGTGGTCGTCTATTGGAAGGTTGTGGGTTCAATCCCAGCCCTTGCAGTCAACATGTCGATGTACCCTTGGGCAAGGGACTTAACCCAGAGTTGCTCCCAATGGCATGTATGAATGTGCTTACTTGACTAAATGGTACATTGCTCTGTATGAAGGGGGTGTGAATGGATGAATGATGACTTGTGGAATGTGAAGCGCTTTGACATATAAATACAGTCCATTTACCATTTGTTTGCTGCCTGGGAGCAATGAGAGTGACCCAAAAAGTTAAGTTGTTCAAGAAACACCAAACAATTAGCTAAAAGTATTACATAATGAAAGGCAATGAAATATCTCAACTTGAACAAAAAAAGAAATGTTGTCTGCAATAGAATGACTGGAAATTAGCTTCACAATCAGTCTGAACCCTTTTTAAGGCCATTGTCTGTAAGTTAAGAGTGATTTATGACTGGAGTTCACATTAACTATTTAGGTCAACCAATCATCTGTCCCTAACCATAATCATAAACGTATCAAGCTGCAGTTGCCATGCAGAGATATATGAGGAATAAATAATTAATAAAGTTGTGATTTTTCTTTGACAAAGTACGTTAAAAGCTATTATGATATTAAATGTATTGATAATATTCATTTATCTTGATTCTAAAGTATTTGGTTACCCTATGATCATGCCTGTTGGGAAATTAGCCAACAATTCCTACTTTTCAAAAAAAATATTGCAATACAGAAGACAGTTTGCTATCTTCATGCTCCTCAGTCAATGAATCATTTTACATTTTGGCTGCTTTATGTTTCCCCCTCAAACTAAACGGAAGTCTAAATAAAATAGCATAACGACATTTTTGGAATAGGCCAATGTAGGTTTAAGGGTCATGAGTCCGGAAACCTTGACACGTTCAAAATTAACGCAAATTATTCACAATACCAAGTTGGACTCAAATTGACTCAATGTTTACCATGAATTGCATGGCATTAAAAAAAAGCAGAGGAGTCTGCACATGCTACACATTACATTAACTGGAGACCACCGTACATCAGTAAGCAGTAGGAAAATATTCCAACGAAAATGAACAAAATTAATTTTGACGAACCAAGCGACGCTTTCTGGAAGTTGAGTTGGATAGATAGTGCTCACAATATGATAGCAGCAGAGATAATATTCCCTGTGTAGCACACATTGTACAGAGGGTCCTCTCAGCGGTTCTCCATAACAGTGTCTTTGTCAATGTAATAGTTACATTTTGCATACCTCATGACAAGAATTCAGGGTTAGTGTTAGGGTTATCAAAAATAAAAATAAAACACTTTTTTCTCTTACGTAACGTCCACACGGTTCCGTCGCGTGCTTCAACAGAGACGCTTCCCATTCACTTTGAATGGGGTGACGTCAAGCTTTGCTGAACTGCATTGTGGTTCCGTTGCTTCGCTTTGCCTCCGTTGCTCGCGCTGAAAGTTGAGAAAAGTTCCACTTTTCTGACCAGCGGGCCATTTTGAATCGGCCCTCAGCAAATTCAAAAAGTATAATGGAGTACAGTATGGCTCACAGATGAAACTTGTGTTTGTCTTATATTGTACTTCTCAAATATAGATGAAAACAGATATTACACAGTATTCATGTGTTATGAAGCCCACTTTTCAAACAATTCAGTCAATTCAAGTTGAAAACATTTTCTATCAAATCTAAATTGATATGAAAAAAGCCCAGTAACTTATTTTCATAATACGCTTGAAATAAATCCTTCCTATTTCCTCTTATTATAATCAATCTGAAGCTTCTGTTTTAAGGAATGAGCTGCTAACAAGATAAGTGAAACCCTATGGAGAGCTGTGATGTATACAGTAGGCTGTCTTACAGCATTTTCAAGTATTAAGCATAATTTACCTACATTTGATTTATTTTGCTGACTTATAACTTAACTTATCAGGGAATATACCTGCACCTCTAGTGAGTAGCCCAGCCCTTCGTATGTTTTTCTGTATGTGGCCCTCGGTGAAAAAAGTTTGGACACCCCTGCTTTAAATGAATTATACAACGTTTTCTTATTTATTTTCTAATAATATTTGCTAAACCCCAAAAGATCAAATTAGAATGTGCTAAGACAAGACACCTGAGGTTAAAAAGATTATCATAGGCAATGCTTTGATGCTGAATCTAATAAGGAAACTAGGTCATTCTTTCAAAGGGTAAGCAATGCTCTCTCATGCCTAACCTTCCTGAAAATCAATTTGGATGTTCAAAAAAAGGACACACAAAAGTATGCAATTATTCATAGACCACGATTCTTGACCTCTGACAGTTGGACAATTCAATAATTCATAATCCATTAAATTAGAGCCTTTAGACAACCTTCTTTTTGAAATAATATCCTAATATTTTGCATTGACAAATTTGCTGCCGCCAGAGGGGATTTTAGCGTTTGTATTTCAAGGTTAAAGTGACCGTTTGAAGCCAGGGGAGAGAGACACACACACACAGACACACACAGGTACTGTAGTGAAGGAAGTACTTTAATGGCGAGGAAACAGGCAGAACTGGCAGAAGGAGATAAGACCCCGCAGACGGTGTCCTGTACGAAAAATGAATTGAAAACAAAATGGGTGGAGGACCGAAGAAGAGAGAGGAAGAGAGGGGGTGGCGATGGCGCGGGAAGAGGGTGAGTGAGTTATCAGCCATGCAGGATAGTAGTACACCTCATCTCTAGTTTGGGCGGCGCTTTTGCTTCTTTTTTTCTCAAGATAACAGGCGGTTCACTCCAGATTGTTACTTTGAGTTTGTTGAGCTATTTGGTGTTGGCGAGATGTGAGCTTGTGGTCAGTACTGCAGGTAGATGTTTAGTCCTGTGCTTCGTTCTTATAACAGGATGACGTGTGGAAATAGGCTAAACTGTAACTGTGCAAGCAATACAGTCCTTTGCCTTTATACAGCACATTTCTGTTTGTATTTAAATATATATAGTCCTGCTAACACTTTTTATACTCTGAACTAGTTCCATTAATTACCGTATTTCCATATTCAGAGACCGTGTACTATTTTAGCTGGGGCCTGCAGTATATTTGGGCTGCACCAGTCTGCCAGCATTGAAGTGACGAGACTCCAGCAGTTTCTTATATACAGCCCTGGATGGCAGCCATTGGCACGGACCAGCAGCCTTCTCTTCACATGGTGTACGCCACCCAGTAGATCACGTTCACCACGGCGAAAGTGAAAGGGAACACGGCCCTGGCGTAGATGTCGATGGTGTCGGCATCAATGGGCTTGCAGACGCACTTGGAACAGCACTTCTTGTCCTCCGTGCTCTCCTCCGTCTGCCGGGATCTTCTCCTCCTGGGCTCGGACTCCTCTCTGCCGCCCTCCCTGGGGATTTCACTGCTGGAGCGCTTGGGCCGCCCGTGGCGGTTGGAAATCATCACGCCCTGGTTCATTCCGGTGACCGACAGGGAAAACAGAACCATGGCCTGTTTGCCATTCTTCACAATGGACTGTATGGAGGCAAAGAGAGAGAGGCGTGTCAGCATTTTCTGGGGCTTTACAGGCAGTTTTCAGTCAATCAGAAGCAAATGTAGTCAAATCCTGCAAAATCAGTCATCTAGTTTAATAGTAGTCTAGAATCCAGAAAAACTGGCAAAAAAATAAGGGAAGGAAATACTAAAAGACCAAAAGAGATGGAATGATGTTTTAAAAATGCATGTTTACGCAATTTGAATATTGCACCTTCAACAATTTATTCATAAAAAATCCCAATAGATCTAACAGTGAAACACTTCTTGATTAAACACCTTGAATGTTTAGCACCATCTGTTTACACTCCTTTCACTTTATTATAGAAATACTTGGGATTTTTTACATATTACAACATCATCTTTTGGATTTTAGTCAAATAAAACTTTAGCCCCATCTACTTTAGATATAATGATAATGAATCAACAATCAAGAACAACAAAGAACAACTCCTGGCACACAACACATTGGCTAGTATTTGAGTCGTTATTAAAGAAACGATGTTCTTTAACGTGTTCTTTTTAGGTAGACTGTAGCTGCATTGGTAACTTTTTACAGTCATTGCAGCTGGACTCACTTTCACAATGCATGCTGGGTCCCCACACATTTGTAATCACATCACGGTGAGGTTTAATGTGACTCACTTCACTCGTCTTTTTCTGTCATACCCTGTCTTGTGGTATTTCTTTTATTCCATTTGGACATTCAATATACAAAGAGTCAACACATCTGATGGTGTATCTCAGCATGATTTATATCAACCGCAAAACGAACAGACAGTATGATGAGAATCACTAATACTCCCTGAAGGGAAGTCTTCCATTTCCCCATTATGCTCTATAGAGATTCATTGTCGTGCTGAAGGTCAGTGGGATGGATGCACAGGAGTGAGAAGCCCGGCCCAGGTCTATGTATGCAAGGCACGCTCATTACTACAACCCCCCCCATGCGTTGTTACTTGCTGATGGGAGTACATGATGGGAAAGATTTCCTCACCTCGGAGCTTAGCTTGTTGGCCTTCACCTTGGCCTTCTCTTTGAGTCTATAGTCAGCGTTGTAGTGAGCGAAGGCGTACTCGATGAGTGCCGCGAACACAAACACGTAACAGATCCAGAAGTAGACGTCCAATGCCTTGATGGCCGACGCTCTAGGAAGGGAGGAGCGGGCGCTTACCATCAGGGTGGTCATAGTGAGAACAGTCGTAATCCCTGTGGAAAGATCCAGATGTAAAGTACAGATTAGGATGCTGTTGGTTTTTTGCCATGCTAGCAACACTGCCTAAGTATAGCTGTAGAAAGCCGCTAAAATAGTATCATTAACAGAACACACAGGCTGTGAACAGAGAGCCAATATTCTGTCTTCTGCTACATTTCATTATTGATATTCATCATTTTCAAGAGGAAAAATACATTGTGTTCACAATACTGGAAGGGAATAGCACTAACGGTTTTTGATGCTTGCAGCCTTGGTGACACTTCTGGCCAGGTATCAATCTCAAATATCCACTTCTACACATAACTAATCAATATCTAATGGGCCTATTGCCATACATATTATTGAGGATATTGTGCTACTTACAGGATTAACTTTTTCCACCTGGGACATTTAATGAGCTTGTGCCATTTTCAGGACTTTTACACAAAAACTCTCATTATCTAACTGTCAGTCTGCAATGAAAATTAGGAACAATTTTGAACATTAAATCATTTAAAAAGGTCACAGTAGAAGCAAAAAATAAAAATATTAACCTGAAAATGCACAATCTTTTTAAGTTAACTCTTGTTAAAGAACGGTCTGAAGCTCTGCACGTTTCTACAGATGAATAAACAGCCATTTTGAGGTTCCACTTTTTAAAATGTAATCTTAAATGTAAACACAATCAAACTAATACCAACCCAAGGACACACGAGCAGGGACTGCTGTTTGGCTGATCCAAAAGGACACCCAGGACATGGCGACCAGCAATATGGATGGCATGTATGACTGGATGATGTAGACGCCTCGGTTACGCCTCAGCTCGAAGCGAAGGCTGAGCCTTGGAAATCGTCCCGCTGGGAAGACAGAAAACAGACACTGTGTTTAACGGCTTTCCTGAAGAAGCTTATTATCCATTATGAAAATATCCAATTGTTCTTCACAGACCAAGGGGCACAGACTAGTTGAAAACGGCAAATATTACAAGCTACATTTTCCCAGCAGCAACTCCTATCATCTCCTAAACCTCCTGCCTGGCTCAGCAGCAAGCCTGGCTTCATACATTCCTTCTATGCATAGAATATAACCACAGAAGTTCTTGAATAAAAATAAAAATCAAGAAGTCTTCTAACACAAGATACAAGCCAAGTCCGAAACTCAAAATCGTACATTATTCATAGAACATTCCCTCACATGCAGAGGGCTTGCAAACCAGCTCTACGGGAAGGAAAACCTTGAAAAACATGATGGATGCTAACCAGATTTGAAGTTCATCATCTCAGTGACAAACCGATAGTCTGTGATGGTGAACTGGGAGAGCTCTAGTTTGTCCAGGCCGTGGATGTGCTTCTGACTGTCCGACCAGTGGTACACAATGTCCTCTGAGGAGTAGCCATCTAGAAATAAAGAACTGATGTCAAGACATTTTATCTGTCCAAAGATGCGGTTATGTGAGGGTTGTAGCGGTAATGGAGAAAGCTTGTAACATTGTAACCTTTCTTTGGTGTCACTTCACTTTGGCATGAACACGTCAAAAGGAATCCTGAGAGCATAGTTGTTCGTGAATGTGTAAAGGAGGGAAAAGATGTTACCACTTACAGCTTTCCAGGTCCAGCATACACTCCTGTTCATCCATAGGATACTTGGTCAGGTCCATGTCACAGGCCACCGTTGAAGTGATTCTAGGAACAAAACAGCCCAATTAATCGACCTATATTGTTGATTCTTTACAAATCTACTGACCAACATGTTTTACTAAGAACTCCTGGTTATCATTCACATGGTTACAACTTGTCAGACCTGGTATCTTTCTAGAGACATCGCCATCCTCTTGTTACCGTAAATAATGAGGAAGAAGAAGTTGTTTAATAAGAGAAAGATACAGAAAGACCCAATACTTTGAGCTACATTTGATGATTTTCTTTGGCAACTTTGGGAAAGTGAAAATAATCTATAACTACAATATGGACATATCAAGTAAATTGCGCATATATAAAAACAGGAAGTACTAATTAATGTTGCAGAAACAGACAACTATTGACATTCACTTGGAGTCGTGTTTTTGGCCAACTGGCAGATGCAATTCCGATATTCTCCTGTTATCTGCTGTGTTTGGTTTCCACCAACTTCTGAGAAAATATTTGGGAACAAAGCTTACTTTATGTTTGACTATACTGAGGAGCCAGACGCTAACTTTGCCTGCTTCATCATATCATATAAGAGCAACAAGAGTGAACGAGCAGCTTGGCTGCAGTAAAAAACTCAAAACGAGATTTTCTAACTTAAACATAAAGACAGATAACAGGCTCATCACAGACAAACTGGATGTGGCCAAGTACTTGAACATTTTTTTCACAAACATAGCCACAACTCTTGTAAATAAATTACCCTCCCACTCAGGGCTTTTTGGAGTAGATCACATCATGACCTACTACAAAAACCTAGGGGTACGCAAAGATGATTTCAGTCTAGCAAGGGTAACAACAGCAGAGGTACTCATTAAACTGAGCGCCCTCCAACCTAACAAGGCCAGTGGCCACGACAATATCCCCTTCAAATTCCTCAGAGACACAGCAACCGCCATCTCACCAGTCATAGCTCACATAATTAACCTCTCCATAAAACAGGGAAAAGTACCCAAAGACTTCAAAATTGCAAGAGTAACCCCCCTGCACAAAAAGGGCAGCAAATTGGACCCAGGCAACTACCGCCCTGTTTCTATACTTACCTCCATCTCGAAAGTCATGGAAAAAATAGTATATGAACAGGTCGAAAAGTACCTCGCGGAAAATAAACTAATCTATGAATTTCAATCTGGCTTTAGAACATCCCACTCCACTGACACATGCCTTCTTTATTTGAGCGACCACATCAAACAAGAGGTGGACGAGGGCAAGTACTGCGGCATGGTGATGCTGGACCTACAAAAGGCTTTCGACACTGTCAATCACCCCATTCTGATTGACAAGCTAAAAGCAATTGGTTTTGATAAACTATCGGTGAGCTGGATGCAATCCTACCTGGAGGGGAGAGAACAGATGGTGGAGGTAAACGGTACTCTGTCCCCCCCCCCCTCCCAGTGAGCTGTGGTGTTCCACAAGGAAGCATATTAGGTCCGTTACTGTTCCTAATGTATGTAAATGACATGTCATCAGCATGTGACTGCAACTTGTTCCTGTTCGCGGACGACTCAGCCCTGCTGGTCTCTGACAGAAGCAGATTGCAGGTTGAAAAAACCCTCAGCTCCGAGCTCGGCAGAATCTGCACCTGGCTCGCCGATAATAAATTATCATTACACCTGGGTAAAACAGAGTCCATTCTCTTCGGTTCGAAACATAATCTCAGCAAATCCGACGACTTCTCAGTTGCAGTGGGTGACATTATTGTCACAAGTAAGAAGGAAATTACATACCTAGGATCTATTCTTGAGGCAAACCTCTCCTGTGACAAAATGGCATCCAATGTAATAAAAAAAGTCAATCAAAGAACTAGATTCCTATACCGGATCTCCTCTCTGGTAAACAAAAACACCCTGAAAACTCTGGCAGGAGCACTCATTCAAGGGTACTATGACTATGCTTGCACGTCATGGTACCATAGCACCTCCAAGGCGCTAAAAATAAAACTTCAAACATCGCAAAATAAACTGGTCAGACTACTGCTTGACCTTTCATCTAGAACCCACCTTACCTCTGCCCACTTTGACAACCTAGGATGGCTTAGAGTAGACAACAGAGTACAGCTACTTGCAATGGGCCTGGTCTACAAGATCCACTACACCTCTATGGTACCCATGTACATGTCAAAATTCTTCCCAAAGGTCAAGGAATACCATGATCATAACACCAGAGGGAGCTCCACAAATCATGTGAAACCCAGATTTGGCACAAAAAAGGGGGAATACACGTTTCGCAATTATACCACATCAAGGTGGAACGCTCTTCCCACAACTGTAAAGGAAAGTAAAACTATACTTACCTTCAAAACCTCTCTTAAAGAGCACCTTCGGGGGAGAGCATTGCAAAACTGGCCCCGGTAATGGTACAAATCTCAACCTGTCGTTCAATGGACAGCTTCCCCCCCCCATCTATGTATATACTCGCATTTTAGACTCTGTTACTAACTGTATATCTGTAGACTTGGTATGTCTTAAATGTCCGGTTAGGATGTATTAGAACGAAATCTAAAATGAAAATTGTAAATAAGCCATCTGTATGTCAAATATGTCGTATATGTCTTAAATGATATGATGAATTGGAAATGGGGGACCCTGATGTAAACAAGACGAAAGTCTTTCTCTGGTCTGCATCCCCTTAACAATTGTATGTTTTGAGCTATACTGTACTGTACCCAATATACAAGCTGTTAATAAACTTTTCAATCAATCAATCAACGTAAAACTAAAACAAGTTTTAAAATGCCAAAAGGCTCCCAAGAGCTAAGGGGAACTGAAGAGGTGGGTGATACATCTTTATGGGTTTGTTTGTTATCCAATCAGATTAGTCTTGCCTATTGTTGACTGATTGTCGAATCATGTGTTTTGTTCTCATTGGACAGAACACGGTTTGTTAGCTTGCTTGTAATTTGAACTTTCAGCTATAATTCCATTGTAGCCTCATGTTTTTTTTAGCATTTCTGAGGCTATCTTCTGCGTCTGTAGGTTTTGTATCATGATTTATTGGAGGAAACCAAACAATTCTATGCAAGTCATTCATTCAACTCCCCCATATAGCCCAAATTGAATGATCCTTTGTTTCAGAAGCAGAATTTGCAACCTCTACTACAACGATTTAACTGTGGGATTGACTGTTAATAAAGCTCCTTAGATCAACTCATAGTTGACTATTCAGGGTCACCTCTACATTACTCATTAAATTCATTGTTGAGATAGAAGTATTGATTATAGCAGTCTGTGTGAAAATGTTCACTTCAAATGTTCACGCCAGAAAAACAACAGAAAACTTTTTGTTATTTATAGCAGTTTTGGGAGGCACTGACAAACAATGTCATTCTGCCAATAGAGACGGCAGATAAAAACACATATAAGGGATATTTGTAAAAGCAGTGACAAAGAGCATATAGTTTGTCATTTCTATCGGAGTGTTTTTATTTTTATAGCCGTCGAATGGTTTTGTTTAAAATGTCATGGATTCTGCAGACATACTGACAGTACCACTTTAGCTTCTGTGAAGATTCACCTTGATCCATTTTACCTTCACCTTTCCATATTCCCCCTCATCCGACGTCTCTTTGTACAGTCACATCAGAACATATCCCACTTTTTTTAAGGCTTCTGAAGTCACCTCAAAGAAGATATTTACTTTCAGATCATGGTATGGATCATGAGGGATTTTCAAACCCAAAAACTGCAAATAAGAAATGCCTTTGCTCTCAAATGTCTAAGGTTTTGACAGCTTTGAAGAAAAATAAAATAAGCATGGACTTTCTTACATACAAATACAAAGATCCACATCATGGATAGATAAAGTGCTTTCTGCCCCCCTTGTTGTGTTGTCTGACTGTCTGAGTATGAGAAGCAAAGACAATACTCAGTGTTCTTATACCGGCTGCTGTATAGAATGACTCCATTTGGCTGCAGGCGGATCAGCTTGTTCTCCACCGTGACATCGTGGAACCAAGCAGATTTGGCGTTGACGATGAAGGTGTCGGGTAGCCACAGCTTGTCCACAAATCGACTGTCCAAACCCAGCGTCTTGTTGGTGTGATTGTAGGACAGGCGGTCGTCTTTCCAGCTCTGCCGCAGGTACACGGTCATGGTGTAATCCTGGCATGAACAATACAAATTCAAACACACAGACACAAACATATAGGCTGAGTCAAGACATTCTTTCTAATACTAGTTTCAGTATTAGAAGAAGGAAACTAACTTTACATCAAGAATCTTTTTTAAACAAAATCCAATGCAAATTGTGTGGTTTAATATTAGATTGAGTAAAGTCTACAATTATAGAATTAAATACAGATAAGGATTAAACTGGAACTCAACCTATATTAATAAAACATGAAGATAATTTACAGGTTGTGAGCAATACTACCTTTGTCAACTCTTTAAAGTTAAAATGCCTTTTGGGATCTCTAGTATTCTGTGTTTTTGGAGCTTAACCCATTAAAGTCTGGATTTTTCTACTTCAGATGCGTCAATTTCAACCATTCACTTTTTTAAACCATCAATCACATGTCAACAAACTTAATGGAACTGTAAAGTTTAATTGTTGGAGAACTCCTTTAATTACTAAATGTTCATGTTAAACTAACACTCAATTCAGTGTATGTAAAGTTAAGTGACTATAATGTGTCAAATCTTACTGTAGACCAGCATTTCTTATTTAATTTAGTTATTTTTAAGAGTGTTTTCATAGGAACAAGTTGTGATTTAGAAGGAGATATGCTATCTCGGATTTGTATTGAATTTTTATTGAATTTTTTTTAATTAATTAATTTTATCAGTGTCCTTTGTTGTGAAGCGCTTCGAGATTTGTCTTGGCAGATGAGAAGCGCTATATGAATTAAATGTATTATTATTATATGCACATTTGCAACTGCTATAACTATTAGTCCTTTGCTCAAATCAAACATACTGATACTGTCGGAAATAATCTACTTGTTCATAGTATTTAACTTCAATAGGAAGAATGATAAACGGTAATAACTGACCAAAATGTAGATCCTAGTTTAATTTATATTCTTGTATTCAACCTATTCACATCTTTCTGTGAGAATCCCTGTGGTGTGCTTTTCATGCACCTTTATTTGAACACTTATAGTTGAATTTTCAACTTCTGAAGCAAGGAAAAGATTAACTTGTTTGGAAAAACATCAGGGTTTCATCCATAAAACTGCATCCCCCCACTATATTTGGTTCTCACCACAGAATCCCTGAAAGTATGAAATTATCCAACGTGTCACACACGCTTACTTTGAGTACTTCCAAACCCTCCAGTGGGATAAATCAGGATTATGCAAATAGCGAATCTTTGATCTTTGCCGCAATAGTGAATTTAAGGGATGGTAGACAATTTTAGTGTGGAAGGAAGTGTGAAAGTGACTGTATACTCTACCATGTTGGCTTCGGAGATGTGGTCGATGCTGGCCACTTCGATGGCCATGGCCACGTTGACTGGTGGACCTGCGAGGTGGAAAAGTCAGAAAAAGAAAGCAAACCCTATGCCCAGACACAAACTCACACTCACACACACACACACACACACACACACACACACACACACACACACACACACACACACACCTTCTCTGCTCATTCTAAACCCAGCAATCCCTTCCAGCCTAGCTCCATCACCCATCTTTTTCCCTCCCACCTACCATCCTCCCACGTCTCAAACACTCCTACAGTGCATGGAGATTAAGCATTATCCAGTTTAACCATCCTAAGTGGCACATCACACTATGGGCATTCATAAACAGCGCTGGGTTTTCGTGGACTCACACTAAGTGAGCTGCTGCCAACATTTGCACACACACACACACACACACACACACACATAAACACACACACACACACACACACACACATACACACACACACATTTCCACTCAACAGTTTGCCATATGATTAACATGGAGTATGTCTCTGTGATCGGATGCTAGAGGGCAGAAACTACAGGGGAGCGCACTGATGCAGAACAGAAAGGCTATTTATACTGAACATTAAGGAATCATACATTACCATTCCCCACCATTCAACACCTTCCCATAACAATTTCTAGCAAATCGTTCTCTATTGGCCTTGAACTGGATCAAATGTATAGTGTGCGGTGATTTACAATGGCATGGTAATTACATGCCAAGGTCACCAGGAGCGAGTTTAGAGGGTGTAACATGATGTAAGCTTGTTTTATCCTCCATTGGCTCTGCACACATTAATAATACATTTGTAATATACATATATATACTATACACATGTATATGTAGTTAAATAGAACATGTTGCTTTCAACAATCCAACCATAACGATGCTGTTATATTTATGTTAATGTGTCATTAGTTTTGTGTCATAAAGCTTGGAAGAAATAACATGAATATTACAGATATACAATGAGATTCACAGATGTTTTAAGTGCCTTGAAAAAGCACAAGTAGGTTTTTAACTCTGGAAATTCTGCTACTGATACGGTGGCCAAGAGAAGTCAACATTTTATATATTGTTTAACTCAGTGGTTCTCAACTGGTCAGGCCTCGGGACCCAACATTTTGAACCACTCAAATCTATTCAACAAAAAATCGTGCTGTAGGCTAATATATACGCTTTTCAGCATACAATATTAATTAAAGTGAAGTACAGTGCATAATGTCCCTCATCTCCCTTCACAGAACTAAAGTTTTAATGAGATGATGGAATAAAAGCTGAACTATATCACATAAAAGCCTGACATGCTGAAAACCCAACCCCAGAAGGGGGGTCTGGGGGGATTCTTAGAAATACTAACATAAAAACTACGTATTCTGGTACTCTCTGAGTAGAAAATAAATAAATATATTACTACCCGACATATTAATAATATTTTATGCCATTGTTTGTTTTTCACTTTGTTCTGACAGCTGAACTTGTCTGTGTGAATTACTTTGTGGGTAAGGGTAGATAGCCCCCATTGTTCTGCGACCTGTCAATCATCAAACCGGGGGTCATATTTCATTATGTGTTCATTTGTATCTGAAGTTGTACCCATGGATGTATAAAGAGTATCTACCGCAAAGTTATTCTCCGTGGGGACTTCCGGCAACAATCTTGATTCTGATTGGCCAGAAGACTGAAAAACCATCAGCAAAGATATTTTATTGCGAAGATGATCACTACGTGACAGAAGTTTTCAAAACCGTTTATGGTCTCCGGTACTTCCAGTCCAACGCCTACTGCATGCACAGCGTTAGAAAATCGGGCCTTCAAAATAAAATGTTGACTTTTCCCCCCAAAAAAAAAAAATCGGCGACCCAGAACCACTGACTTGTTGTGTTCGTTTAGGAGGCATGCCATTTAACAATGTCGATTTGGACAAAAGTATCTGCAAACTGAATTGTTTTAATGTAAATAAATGTAATTAATAATAATACATATATATATATATATATATATATATAATTAATAAAAATAATTGTAATAATATTATTTTTTAATATTATTGGTACTTCACGTGGAGTCATATTTGTGAATCTTATCTTATTTTCCGGATGCAAAACATGCCTATGAATCCTTTTTATATACAGCATATCTGTGTTAGTTTGATATTTACTGTCTAATGAGCAGTGTTGTGCTAGTTATTGAAAACCAGTAACTCGTTACCATTACTAGTTACTTCATTTAAAAAGTAACTCAGTTACTTTACTAGATACTTACACCAAAAGTAATGCGTTACTGTGAAAAGTAACGTTTTAGTTACTTCGAAAAATGGCTCCCATTAATGCCCTTATAGCCTTCATTTCAGTACTGTTATTGCATTGGAGAATAATACAATCTGTTGATCAACTTGACATGCATTATATGCAATCTGGATTGCATCGATATTAGCTGGCTTTCCATTTTTGTATATTCTTTCTCCAGGTAGTTGGAAAAAGTTTTCCGTCCCATATGCCGTGTGCCGCCCGGACATTGTATCATGCTAACTAGCTCCCTGAAAGCGGGTGACTCCACTGTAGCACTGGGCAGTAGATAGGCTCTTTGACCCGCCAAGACACAACTTACATTTAACTAAAACGTTCTTTTCTTTGTGCTCGACAAAAGTGAAATAGTGAGAATATCTCCAGGTTATTTAGTTGGTCATATCCAACTAAATAAGGGTTGCCCAATCATTTGGTGATACTTTTGAGGTTGCCAGAATTCAAAAAATGCATTTAGGTGAAGATAAAGGTAGAAATTGACCAAAAATAAGCTGTCAAGGTTATTTTCATTTATGTTGTTTTTTTTCTGCACAGTGTAGATTCTTGTTGTGATGAGAGGGATGGAGGTATTTAATAAAAACCTTGCTCGCTGGAGAATAGCTAAAGAAGTCCTGTCACAAGTTAATCGGAGAGGATCACAGCTGGCCACGGATATCGATGCTGCATTCGGGCTGTGAGTAAACAACTTGTGTCTTACTTTTAGGCTGTCTGGAGGTATGGACAGCTATCAAAGCTACTAAACATCACATTAACAACGATGTACAAATGAAAGTCGGAGACAAATACATATTTGAAATGATTTATTCACGTTTGCAATGTTTTGAACAGACATCCCCAGTCACCTCATTGTCATTGTGTAGTCCTCGCTGTCCGCGTCCGGATATCGGCATCGCAACCACAACCTCACACACTGGTACTGAATGTGCATCAAAGTGTTCCTATGGAGCCAAATATACCAAAAGATAAATGTAAACAACAAAAGAAGCGATCGAAATGTGTATTTCCTGGTTATTCGACAATGGCTCCTCAAAGTACACGCCCCATTCCTACCGTTAACGTAACGTATACGAGTTCCCCGGTGTAACCAGTTAAACGGTAACACCGGCGCCCCGTCACCGCCCACTTACGTCATCACAACAAACCACACGTGTGCAGTGTTAACCTGAAGCCCTTGGCCTGTGTTGATGGGATCACTGTTTTACCAGCCATTGCAACATATAACAACTCCCACACATTCATGTTGTTAAATACCCGCTCCCTTAACAACAAAGCATCACTTATTAATGAAATCATCATTGATAGGAAATTGGATTTTCTCTGCCTCACTGAGACATGGCAAAACCAACAGGACTTCCTCACACTCAACCTAGCCACCCCCCCCCCCCCCCCCCCCCCCCAGGTTATGCTTATCTCCAACAGCCCCGCTCCATTGGTCGTGGTGGTGGGCTGGCAGTCATCCACAGAGCAGATATCCCTGTCAAACAGCTGCTTGTGACGAATAAAATCTCACTTGAGTGCATTGCCTTCTCAGTATCTGCCCCCTAAAAGCAGCAGGTAGTCCTCATTTACCGCCCCCCCAAACCTTCCACCTCATTCATGTCTGAGTTGTCTGAGCTTCTCACCACAATCTGCTCCATGTCCCCATCCACACTACTGCTAGGTGATTTTAACATCCACGTGGACTCCAGCACCTGCACCTTTGCCGCTGAGTTTCTGTCACTAGTGGAGTGCTTTAACATCACACAGCATGTCCAAGGTCCCACCCACACTAAGGGCCACACCTTGCGTGTCTTCACTTGCAGAGAGAAGCAATCAGCTTCATGGACTGTCTTGCATCACTCCAATAGTGTCCAGAGCTGGCTGCCATTACAAGTAGTGGTTTGGGATTGTAGCAATGCAGTTGCAGTTGTTTTGCAATTTACTTGATATATGTTGCAATGCAGGGATGTGTTCAATTGTTTATAGCCTGCATTTATTTTGTGATTAGACTTTTATAAATCATTTAACTAAGAGTGAAACACTTGATGTGCTATCTTTGTGTGTGTGTGTGTGTGTGTGTGTGTGTGTGTGTGTGTGTGTGTGTGTGTGTGTGTGTGTGTGTGTGTGTGTGTGTGTGTGTGTGTGTGTGTGTGTGTGTGTGTGTGTGTGTGTGTGTGTGGTGTGTGTGTGTGTGTGTGTGTGTGTGTGTGTGTGTGTGTGTGTGTGTGTGTGTGTGTGTGTGTGTGTGTGTGTGTGTGTGTGTGTGTGTGTGTGTTCTGAAATGTACTTCAAATGATCACTTTTCTCTTGATTTCCCTTTGATATTTTGTTTAGGTAGTGTTACTTGCAGCTAATTGATTGATTGTTTTATGGGTATTCTGTGTTGAGATGGTGCAAATATTTTTAATACATATCTAATATCTTTCTAATACATTTCTCTTGTGTTGTTCTTTCACATAACTAAGACTATAGAAGTGTAAAAAATAGGCTACGTCAGATTATTCCAAGGGACATACAAGTCAAATCAAGTCAATTTTTATTTATATAGCCCAAAATCACAAATCAGAATGAGGGGGTCCTTGGTGTATTCTCTATCTTGTAAGGGGTCCTTGGCTGAAAAACAATTGAGAACCTCTGCTCTAGAGATCTAGACTTCTGTGTGAAGAGCTGTTTCCTGGCATCATTCACCTCCATGCTCTCACTGGTTTGGTCGTACATCAGCACCACAAATCGCTCCAGCAGTAACATTGATCCTTCACTGACCTCACTTGGCATGCATAGGAGTTCATTGAAAGCACCAGTCACCTCTGGGAAAGACTTCCACGTTTCCCAGGCAGTCTTCTTCCCTCTGCCAGCCAGTGGCGTTTTCTCCTGGAGGCCAAGGGAAGCCAGGCTTCCCCTGTTTTTTCGGATTGTAGTTATAATTTTAATAAATAAATAAAAACACTTCGTTTAGTTTCGGAAATTCTTTGTTGTGTGTTGCTGCCGGCCCGTCTCTCCCCCATTCTCATTGAATATTTTACAAAGAGTGAAACAGCGCCCCACTAGATGTTATGGTGAAACAGTAGATTGCACTCTCTGTTGCGAGAGGAGGCCAGCCGAAATTGGCTTCCCTTGGTGAAAAAAAATGGAGGGATTGACCAATCAGACATGACATCACGTCATGCCCCTGCAAACCTGTGATTGGTCAGGGCCATGCCAAGGGAAGCCAGAGGCGGCTGGCTTCCCTTGCCTCACAATCCAATCAAATCGCATTAACTTAGTGTTGCAGTGACGCGTCCTAAAATCCGGAAGTAAGCTGCGCTCGGTTTCCCTCATGTTTCCCTCGACAAAAAAGCAATGGGATTTCTCCATAGGATTTTGGAAAATAGCTCGAAATAAGGTCAGTGGAAAACTAACCTGTTAGATAAATGCACGTTTTGTTCAGCCGGATAATATCCACATGTCTACCCTACTTTTATAATTTTCGAATCATAAATCTAATCGATAGGAGATAGATAGCGTCACTGCACCACTCTCACCGCCATTAGAAAGTAGCAAGCAACTGAAGCAAGTGCAATTATGGAGGGTGGAGATTTGGAGTGTTTAATACAAAATAATTGTACTAAACCTCCGCTACAGCAGCAACAACAAATACAATCTGATGACAGGCTAATGCCCAAACTGGAGCTGTGTACAGCGAGGAAAAAAGGAGCGAGTCGGACGTAAAACGTTAAAGGTCTCCTGATTTAGTTTGTGAATGAATGCTTATTAGAGTTTGGGCTGGAGAGTGCGTGCGGACCTGTCGGTTAGATAACAGGCGTGTGTAAGTCCTGCATCTTTATGATACAAGTGTGTGTAAAATGATACCGGGTAACTCATCTGGTTACGTTATTACATTGACCACCACACCCCCGACCCAAAAGAAAGGAGGTATTATTGGCTTCCCCTAATTTTTTTCCCACGCCACACTACTGCTGCCAGCGAAGGCAGAGACAGTGTCACACCAGGTGAAAGCGTGAAGGACTGGGAGAGTCAGACACTTTGTTGGATTCATTGTGGCAACAATTTCATGAACAGCTATGTAGTGAAAGCTTGATCCAACACCAAAGGCAACCCACAGCTCATCAGGAGCTATTTTGCTGAATGAAGCCACAGCCAGTACCACTACATCGGTATAAACTGTACGTATGGTCACCTTCTTACACCCCTTTTGCACAGCATCTGCCACATGCAGAAGTAGACGAATGTCGGCCTCCTCTTGAGAACACGGGGCAAGGCAGGCTAAGTAAGACTCAGCAGGAGAGCAGAGAACTCCACTTCCATCTGTTGCATACAGTTCCTTGCCCTCTGCGAGAGGAAGATGAACAACTCTGCGAGACAGGAAAGCAAACAAGTCGGTTTTGTTCTCATTGCATCGAAGAAAGTCCTTCCAGTCAATGCAGCTGCTTTTCTCAAGTTGAGCAGAGATGTATGGTGCAAACACTCTATCTCCATACTCTTGAAATGTTCTTGATGTTCCAGGATTTAACATTTGAACCACAGCTGCACCATCGAAAATTGTTGCATCAGCCATAGGTACACTACTGTTTTCAAGCAGATCTGATTCTAGGCAGCGAAGTAGATCTGCTTTAACCCCAATCCGAATTTTTCCTCCAGTTGACAGAGCTGGTGGGGATCCCTGGTTTTCATGGGAGAAGAAATTGTCGATGTCTCCATCTCGTGTTTGACAGAAGATGTACAGCCACAAAAAGAGACCACAGTCACTCTTCAGTGCTGCAAGTTGTGCCTTTTGTTTCGACTTCATCTTGACCGGCGGCCTACTGAACAGTGGCAACTTGTTCTTTGGAAGTGTTTGTGTGACAGGTGTTGTACACTGTTCTAGCCTCTCTTTCATAAACGTGGTGTACTGCTCCTCACCAAGGGTCTCGATCCTTCTCACAGTTTCAGCCACTTTGATGTCCATGATGTCCCTTGTGTCAATGACTAGTACATCTTGGCTGTGTTCTAGGAATGGATTTCCCATCTCATCCAGCACTGTCACAAGTGCTTTAACTTCCTTCAGAAATGCTGCTTGTACGCCAGGTTGCTGGTCGTGATGACGGTGCCCAGTGTCACTAGCACTATGCTGTTGCTCAAACTCTGTAGTGATCCTGGAAATGTCTGGCCCTGCTACCATCCAGCGTCTAAGTGCTCCTGGATTGCCAGTCAGTCCAATAGCCCCACCAGAACCTTTCACCATTGCATTGTTCTGCTCATGGCACTGGTCGAGTGCCATGGCGGAGAACTTGTTGCTGGTTTTGTGTACCACAAAATGTCCAGACTTGAATTCTGCTAGGACATGTGGATGTTTTTCAGCGAGAGTCATCATGTCACGGATGTGTACGGAAAGCCATCTGGAGTAGTGTGTGTAATCTAGGTCAAACATCCAGGGCCTGATCTGTGTCAGGGATTTCACGTACAGCTGGAAGTTACCTTCACGAAGTGACCTGATGTACCGCAGCAAGAGAAGCTCCAATGACAGGGTCTTTAGCCAGTAGTCAAAGTGGACACTGGCCTTTGCTCGCTGTATGCACCACTCAAAAGGCGGACTATCAGGTTGCATGGCATTAGAGTCATCAGGTGTGCAGTCTTCACTGTAAGCTTGTTGGAGGAGTGTATAAAGGCTTGCAGCTGTGAGCTGGTGCGCATGGCGGGTCTTGGTGACATGGCTGGCATGGCTGGCATGTATGAAGGAATTTGCTGTTCCAGAACTTGCAATGTCAGCCTGTACCAGGGTGTTCGTCCAGCCACTGTCTTCCAGCCAGTCTCCCAGCAACTTCAACATGGCCATCTCAATGTGTAGACCACCGAACATGATCACAAAGTGATCCTCTCCATAAGTGGCTGGCCAGGTCCACTGGACTTCCTTAGCAAGAGCATACAGTGGTTGGTCAGCTGCAAGGACAGGAATCTGACCAGGGTTCACGTGCTGAACTGCTGCCTTGACGATGTCCATGGAGTGACGTATCATTGCCACTGAGTGTGCATTGTCAAGAAACAAAGGCAATAGTGCGGTTATTGCTGCAGGTGGGATGACAGCTTGGTGCGCATCAGCGTGGTAGGCAGACCACGATATCCAGCCATCCATGGTAGACTTTTCAACAGCTGTCTTGACTTTGCTGAGCCATGCATACATATCTTCTTTGGCAGCTGCAGCAGTCAGGAGGTTGGGAGGTCTCACAGGACCTTGTACAGCCGGCGCACTGAAGACCTTTGTCTTTAGGGCTGCTGGTGGCACAATTGTGTAGGCTGATGGCAGAGGTGTCACTGACTTGGTGGAAGAGCCACCCTGACCTGAGCTTATTTTTTGTTAAATGTCTATCTTGTCCTTGTCCAATTCAGTTGGAAATGACACCTTAAATTATTTTCTACATTGTTTGGTTCCAAAATTAAAAAAGACGTGGACATTAAACACAGCGGACTGGCGGCCATCTTGGATTTGACTGTTACTTTGATGTCATTTATCTAGCTGATGATAAGTTGATATCATTGGTAAGGCGGGACCATAAGCTACATATAATTATCCAGGATTTATTTACCTGTATGGCTCAAGAAAACATATAACTCTACAGAGAATGCATCTATACCCAGTTAGTTGAAGCATGGATATACACAATACATAACTGCGCCACATCTGCCACCAGCACACACACACGATAAATAATTTACAATTTTGCAAATTTCAACTGATTGACAGCTTATTTTTGGTCAATTTCTACCTTTATCTTCACCTAAATGCATTTTCGTGAATTCTGGCGATCTCAAAAGTATCACCAAATGATTGGGCATCCCTAATTCAGTTGGATATGACACCTTAAATGTTTTTCTACAATGTTTGGTTCCAAAATTAAGCGTGTTTGAACATTTGACCCAAGAGACTGGCGGCCATCTTGGATTTGACCTCTCACTGTCCTCACAGGTCAAATCTGACTTCCCTCCACATCTGAAAATAAACCTTATGGTATGCACTAACTATGCTAGAAATGTCATGCTTTTCTCATAAAATGCACAATTGTTGTGCTTATCCGCTGTACTATATAGGATGTCTGTTGAATGACGGTAATCTCTCCCAATAACACACATGATTCCTTAGTGTTCACAAACAGCTCTCAGCGCATTAAAATGTCAAACCAATAGTAATGCAGTCACCACATGATGCTGTGTAATGATGGTCTGTGTGGAGCTCTGGGCGGCGTGTGGTTCTCCACATTTTCACCTTTTGCTCAGCTGAGTTAAGCTGTGAGATTGAGAAATCTATCGCTGTGGTCATTGGATGTTTCACATCTTGCAGCCATTCTTAGCAAAGTCAGTCGGCAGTGCTCAGTGTTTGCACCACCCGTCCTTGAGGGGCATTGTCCCACATAATCCCTTAAGCAAAGCATCTCTTAGAATAGATGTGTTTCCAAAGCAGGTATTAACAGGAGGTAAATACGGCTTTGTTCTAACGGGAAAAAATGAACAAAGGCACCTCTCAGGTGAATAGAATTAGAAAATTAAATGTCTTCGTTGCTGTAGCTTGTGGTGGGGGGATGCTAAGGATGGCTGTAAATGTGAGGGGGTGAAATGCAACCCAACGCCACGAGCAGTAGATCTCATACTCACCTCCTATCCCAGGGCGAAAATTTCTGGCATAGCCCTTCATTAATTCATCCAGATTAGGTAACCAGGATATTTCAATGTCTGAACCTACATAGTCCCCAATGTCACTCAGCATGGCCCTAAAAGAGACACACAGCAAACACAGGAGGCTTCAGCGGTCGTTCGGCCACGCCATGTGTCCACAGGAGAGTCTCAGATACATTCAGGAACAAACACAGGGGAAATAAGCCTTGAAAGGTGAGAGAGTGTTACCTTCTGAAAGAAAAAAGTGTTAGAAGTCATTGTGAATAAACTTTTCTTGCACCTGCATGACCTCATCAGGTAGCACTTTTTGTGAAGCCAATGTCTATAATGAATTAATTATATAGTTATAATATTCACTGTATAATTGTATTTATACCAACGCAGACTTGAACCTACCACTGAGACAGCATGCCTTTCTTTCCATTTACAGCCATATAATTTATAGCTAAATCGGGCATACATAATCAATCCTCTTATTTTTATGCGTGGTTCTTGACCACCAAACACTTTGCCTAATGTTTTATAACAGTATCATCATGACACATTGAAAATAATTTTAGAACGACTTAAAAGGTCAAGTGACATACAACTTCATCATTTTTTAAGTAGCAGTGTATTATAGTTCCCATTCTCATAATATAATCTCTTTAAACGCATAATGATCACAATCATTATGCAATGTAATGTGATTACATCTTACATAAGTGGTGATTAGGTGCTATAAGTCAAGTTATACAATTATATGACGAAACATTACAAGCTTGTTATAAATCATTGTACGTGATCATACACTGTACGTGATCATACAGTCAGTCAAATGTCATTGAATGACCAAAAAAAAAGAATAATTATGATACTTGACCTTATTTAAATGCTTTGTAATGTTGAATTAATTAATATTGCCCTAAAAGCATTATGAATATTAGTGCTTAGAACTATAATTAAACAGTGCTACATAAAGATGCATAATAGACATGGGCTTCAGAGATAGTGTTACCCTTTTTGGCCACTTGGGGGCAGCAGAACCAGCTGTAAACACAACAAGGACATATTATCACCTTGTAAAGTTGTTAGGACAAACGTGTCAAGTGTTAATCTACAAATCCGGTAACATAGACATTTATTGGGAGCTGTGTTCCTGTTCTCTTGATAAATGTAAGTCCGATATTCACTCTCCTTTTAGCTCTCTCCTGGTCTCCATCATCTCTTGAAGGAAATATCTGTCCAAGCTAGCAGCTAACTGATAGCATACAATAGGTTTGTCACTACATAATCCCCTTTTTCACTGTACAACAAGTCCTTTTAACTGATAGTCATACAGGATATTGGAATAGTGCAGCTTTGATTTTGAGTGTTGTAAAATGTGGTCTGTTAAACATAGGGATCTCCATCTAATTCTAAGGTGTATTGCAAACCTATTCAATCATGATTTTAATTATAGAATTGTGATTGTCCTCAACACAATGTTTACAGTGATTATATTTCACAAATGATAGAATATAAAGTTGAAAGCCATGTGTGGAAATTCAGTTCAAGAAGCTACAACATGTTTACATATTTCTGCCACATACTATAAATTGAAGTTTTCCTAATCGCTCCAATCCTTTAAATTATTCATTATTGAATTAATTGCATGGAGTCTCTTAAACTTACAACAACACTAAGGGTAAATGTGACCACATTAATACTTAAAGAGATAAAAGTGGGATAAAGCTGGCCCTTTTTTCTTTTTCATGCCGCCTCTGTTTTTACTCTGTTTAAATGTATTTAGTTAATGTCAGTAAGAACTTTATTTTAAAACATTTATGAGTCATTACATATTATATATGTGCTCCTACACAGTAAAATCCGGAGTGATAATTTAACACTGTAGATAAGGACCATAGGCTCTCAGTGTTAAAATGGACTCTTTAAGTGTGTTAATCCCTCCCTTTAAGTGTTAATTGAACACTTAAAGAGTACATTTTAACACTGAGCCAGTGAACATATGGTCCTTATCTACAGAGTGTTAAATTAACACTACGGATTTGACTGTGTACATGTACATACATCCAATGAAGAATTTAACTTTTTTCAGCATGAACATGAACAAATTATGTGATAATTTCATAATACATTTCCAGCCATTAGCTGCATCCTTTAAATTACCTATACTAGCATGCAAAAGCCACATTGGATAAAGCCTGGTTGGCACTGATACTTATATTCTTTTCTCCAGGGTGCATTTGTCTTATGGAGGCCAAACTGATTCTCCCAGTGTGAGACTGAACTGAACATCATGCTGTGCCTGCCCCCAGTACATTTTTATTTTAATACGGTAACATTTTTAACTAACCTTTTAGTTAGATACATTTGATGAAATGTGATGTTTAAATATACAAATTAGGCATGTGAATTTGCTATATTGCATATATATATATATACAAAAATGGGGGTATTTGATTTGTTTAAGGGACAGGCTCAATATAATTCCATTTGGTTGACATATTAGTGTCAAAGATCTTTACAGAGGAAATAACATGTATAAATATGTCTTTGTATCAATCCTTAAATCAGAAAATTCTGAAAACAGCTTAAAAACAATCTATTTCTGCCATTTAAAGAATGTATAATTAGGGTATGAGTTATATATAACAACACCGCTCTCTGAACATCTTTAGAAAATAGAAAAGAATGAAACTGGAGAGGCTGGTGCTGAACTGGATATATGAAAAAGATAAAACTATCTTTGAGAAAATATATATATGGTACAATTCCATACATTTTACAAGACACAACAGATGGGTAAATTGAACTAATGCATATCACCATGAAACTTCCCCATTTCATCACTTACATTCAGACGGGTTATGTTTTAAATGTGCAAATGAAGCATCAACTAATTTAGGATAAAATAAAAAGTCCCACATAGACGTTTGGTTACTTTATTAAACCATAAGTGTATATTGTGGATGTGTCTGAAAATAAAACATGTTATTAGAGAAAAAAGCCCCTTTAAAACTCTTAAAATTGACCAAGGTATGAAAAACATGTCCTGTAGTTTCCCACATTAAAAACATAGTCTGATAGACTACATATTCACATTTATCAAGTCTTTGAGTGAGCAGCTTATTACATCACCGTCTCTAGTTTTGGACCATCACACCTCAATTCAAGCAGTAGGCTTTCCTCTTTCCTCTAACCTCACACGAGGGAAATAAAAGTGAAATAAAAAAAAGATTGCCTCATATAATAAAACTACCCAGAGGCCCTGGGGGACTGCTAAAGGGCCCGGAGCCCAGACTGACAGACACTGGCACTGTATGGGATATAAAAGCAGCTCATCTCAGAAACCACCAGGTGGCAGTTTTGCATTCTGAAAAAGAGCCTGTAAACAGATGACATGCAGATAGACACCATGTTGGTGTGTAGCACAGTGTGGACCTTTCTGTATGTGTGTTTAAATTGGGACAGAGAACAAAGAGCTGACTTTAAAAAAGATGTTATAAAATGAAAGGTTTCACTGACATTTAGAGTCACAAAGGCTGGTGGTGACATTGATGTGGAAATATGGAGGCCTTGATCGAATGCGTGATAATTGAACACAAATGAAAAGCCTTTCAGTGGCCTTTGAAATAAGCCTGACATTTGGAGAAAGTCCACTTCCTAGAGAGCGACGCATTACATCCACAGCTACGGAAAACTGACCTCCACAGCAAAACATGAAACAATCATCTGCTATACAAATGGTTGCAAAAAGAAACCCAGGCAAAAAATGTATTTCTGCCATGTCATTAACATTTTCCTTGCTAATCCATTTTGCAGGCAGATGTATTTTTAGTACGGCAATCACTGTCGTGTGTGAAATAAATGGGAGCACCGAGTGAATTAATTAATCACTGTGTGACTCCTGGATTTCTGCACTAATTGGTACTTTCTAAATATGGAAATAGTGAGCTTTCCCTCCAAAAAGTGTGTTAACACACCAAGGTCAAACAGGCCTTTTGCAAGACAAATCCTACAGTATTGGTTGATTTATGTAACTTCATGTTCATTTGTAGGCGCTTGCTGTATCATGTTTCCATGGTGATCGAGTCAGGTTTGATTTGAAAGTATTTTTTTTTAGGTGTATCACAAATCTTTCCTTTTTTATCTTTTAAAAGCCTGTCTTCTAATTTTTCCAATATAACATGTATTAATAGCAACCGATTACAGAAATATTATTTTATTTGTCTTTATGTCACAGAGAGAAGCTTAACAGCTTTTTGGTTGGATTGATTTAGATTTTCTGTCAATGCAATCTGATAAGTTTTGCTAATATTTAATCTACATTAATTTTTTTTAAACACATCAGAAGTGGGTCACTTTAGAAGATTTTCTAAAAGACTTGAGCGATAGAATTACTAACAAAGAACTGCTAACTGATCACTTATATACTAATAAAGGACTGGCTTACCTAAAGCCAGTTGAGTAGCACTTGAAATGTTTGGCTCTATGAAACCTGATGTACTTATATGATTCTGTTTTCTTCAAGGTTGTGTCTTCCTGGTCGAATGTACTTATTGTAAGTCGCTTTGGATAAAAGCGTCAGCTAAATGCAATGTAATGTAATGTGTACGTTTTTATCGACTTAATAAATCTATCAATAATTGCTTCTAACTAGCAAATTGGACATTTAGTTAAAATGTAAAAAAATATTACTTTCATTAAATATTGCCATTTAAATATGTTATCTGACTCCAGAAATAAATAGGTTTTGAGAAAGATGTTTCAACCTTATTTTTTTGCATTTTGAAGCCAAAAAGAAGCCAAAAGGAAACCCATGCAGCTCGCTGGGAGTAGACAAAATGTTCCTGTTTGTCTGTGGAGATTCACAAAACATTTGCACCTCTCTATTTCCTCACCCCTCCATCCATGACAAACAGTGGAGTGTGTGTTATTTCCCGACGCTCCGTTTGCTTTTGTATTCCACTTTCATTAAATGTCCCTCCGGAGGCCTGGATCTGCAGCCGTCTGTTTATGAGCTAACATTAAACAGATGGGGAGAGGAGGCAGAGGAGAGACAAGGAGCAGCAGCCTCTCTCAAATGGATGGCGTCTCTTTTGTGAACGTAATG